GTGTAAACTAAAATACAATCATTTTCTTTTGAATTATTCGTTTTTAATTCCAGGAAAATTTATTTATTCTAACATAGCTTCCAAGTGTTTAATGTTCTCCTAACATTCAAAAATTTTAATGATTTTTTGAATATGAAACGAAAATTCAGTTCTGGAATTTCTACCAAATAAAATTAAAAGCAAAAATATTCCTATAAAATAAATAAAATAAAAAATTAATGAAAGTTTAATAAAATATTTTACTGACACCTTTTTCCGTTTTGAAAAAGGATTAAAATCGGTCGGTGTCAAAAATTATAATTAAAAAAAGAATTAAATTTATTTTTTTTTTCATTTGTAAAGATAAAATTAATTGGAAAATAACCAAATGAAATCAGGTATTTTCTGTTATTTTTTTCTTTATAAAGTTTGACGCATTTTAAAAACAATTTTTGCTTTTAGCCTAAAAGAATTTTTATTGCGAAAATGTAAATTTACTGCGGCAGTATATTACCCATGTTACTTAAAATCAGTAATTAAATATATTTTAAATAATGTCATTTACTATTTAATATGGAGATTATTGGTAAATGCAATTATGAAATTAAAAATTATTTATTCACATTTACAGTCTGTTTAAAATATTCAATACCAATAATAATGCTATTATTAATGGGAATTTGAAATTCTATAGTAAAATAATTATTGGATTCATAATGATATTATAGGTTATATAATACCATAAATTGCCATAAGTTTTAATGAAAAAGATTTAAATTTAAAATTTAAAATAAATTTTAATTGCAATTTGGCTTTCACCCAACATTAGGTAAAATTTCGATTTAAAAAATTGAATCGGTTCAAATCAACTTTTCAATTTATTTGAATCATTAAGAAAAATTTTTACATTCATTATGTAGTATTGGTGCAGAAACATATTCCTGCTACAAAAATTTGAGTATGGCGACTTGTATATATTTTAATGTTTACGAATAATTTTATGAAAATTTTCTTAATATGGGGTATTTAAAGAGGTTTTACTCCATATGCTATTACCAACTTAGTTTAAAAATCACTTCAACTACATTACAAAGTTCGTACTGATAACTGGTTATTATTTAATGAGAGTTATGAACGTCATTTAATATATGTTTTTTTCCTAAAATTTAAGGGAACTAGCTATACCTTTATGAAAATTAGGGAGAGCTAATAGAAATTTTGAAAATTCTCATTAAATAAAAATATTTAAATGAAGTTCTTAAAATTTAAATTTAAAGTCCTTACATGATATCTTAACACGTGAAATGTCTGAAGGCACCATATTCGAGAACACCCTATATTTTTTTTGGTGTTGCAAACTTTATGAGTAAAATCTGCGCTTAAAAGAAAACATTGCCCCACTTAAATTTAAAGAGAAACGAAATATCCACTCTTAAAAATTGAAAACTATTGTCACAAGGCTGTCTGCTGATCTACATTCTTAACTTAAATAGATTAACATTTTTGTATTTTGAGCTTTTGTTCAATTAGAAACTACAAACGAACATCTCCCGTGCAGATCTGGAAAATATTTACATTTTCAAAACGTTCCCAGGTTCTTACACAGTTGATCAAACTAATTAATAAAATTAGAGCCACAGAGTGGTTGTAAGACAAACAGCCTAACTTTGGTTATTCTTAATTTTGTTATAGATCTTCAATTGATTAATTTATTAATTATATGTTCCATTGGAAATCGGATCATTTCACTTTACATACCTACTTCTTAAGTATATAACACTGACATAAGTGGTCATATTTTTTTTATTTTCTTAAAAACAATTCTATACTTAAACCATGATTTACTTAAAAACATTCACTTTCAATGTATAATGTTTTTGTCTTCAAATCCACATAATACAACCTAATTCAAGTAAAAATAGAGACTCTGACAAGTCTCTTTTTATTTGAATATGATTTTACTGGAAAATCTCATGTGGTTAAAGAAAAATCATATTAAATTTTCATTCAAAATAGCAATCTAATGATGACCCAAGTTTATTATAAAATCCGCACTTTACTCTTAATATATATCCTCTTCAAATTCTTGAAAATCAAAAGCATCAATTATTTCTATCTAAAATTAAAAATTTAAGTTTTTGTTAATTTCATCGTAATTAATGGTCATAATTGTTTTAAAAATTAAAATTATTATAAATTAACGCAGGATTCTTATGACGCAATATTATTGCTACCAAGAATCCTGCACATATACTTTATTATCCTCTTCAAATGTTGAGACGATATTTAACGTAAAATTTAAAATTTTAACCGTATTCCTGCAGTCCCTTAAAACCAAATTTCAAATTTGTAATTACTAAGAGAATAGTCTCAAGTTACAGAAAAAAATACAATATTTTTGCGTTATTCTTATACAATAAAATTATTGGGGCCAGGAATAGCAAGCTTTAAGAACAGAACTACTTTCTAAATTTCAAAAATTTGTGCACATATGCGTTATGATATTTAAAATATGCTCTTCATTTAATATATTCCAAATTTAACTATAAAAAAAACTGCTGACAGAATGAAAATTTTTTGAAATTTATGACTAAATTATTTTGGGAAGTGGTTCTCTTAACAATAAAGGCTATTCATTTTAAAAATATTTCAGAAAATGTAGATATTCACACAAAAAAATTTAAAATATTTTTTTTTAAATTCGCGTCTTTTTAAAAATTATCCTTGAACACATGTGAATAGGTTTCGGTTAAATACCGTAGAATTGTTATATGCACATATGCACGCACATATATAAAATATCCTGACCAATTTATAACGGTAATTTTCTGAAATTGTCCAATATTTTTTATTGCAAATTAATTTGAATTTTATAATTTTTATCTTTTCTTTCTATTTTATTTAAATTTCAAATAATTTAAATTAGCTGTAAAAATGTGGTATAATAAATTTAATTTAATGCAATCACGTCCTTGTTTTGTAATATTTTGTATTGTGTATTTTTATTTTCAAGTTTCCTGAACATACACATTAAGTACATACATAAAATGTAAGAATATAAAAGAATACTTACATTGCAATATTGCAATTGTGTACTACTAAAATTTGTATGCTTGTATGTAGCTATTATATTACACACATGTCAAGAAAAAAATGCACGTACATTACTGCTCATATATAAGGAAATTTTCAAAAGGATAAAAAATTTTATGATACCATTCACATATATTATTGCATAAGTAAGCAATTTGGGACCAGAAATTATGTTTCTAGAGTACATTGTGTTGTACACAATTGAAGAACACGTGTTGAACAACAATAAAATTAAAGGGAAAATGAAAACTTGATAAAACATTTTTTTTTCCATAAAACTATATAGAATTTCAAAAGTTTAGAGAGAAATTTTTTTTATTCCTTTTTGAATTCCCCATTTTACTTAAAGGCACTCGTTATAACATAGTGTCGTAATATTCCAAAAAGAAACAAATGGAAAAATACTTAAATGGTCGTTTTGAAGTGTGTGTTACCAAAGGAATTTCTGAAATTTTTTTAATATTTCGATTTAAAAGAAAAGCGAAAAAGTAAAAAGTTAAACACATAATTCTATATAATTTTGTAATTAAAGTTTTTATTGGAAATTTTTTTAATGATCTAGATAAAAATGCTAGTCAAAATTTCAGAAATGCACTAATAATAAAAATTTTATTTGAAAAATTTCATATACACAAAGACGATCAGTTCTTAAACATCTAAGTTCAAGCTACGTAAAAGTACATTTCAATAATGGAAGGTAGGATGCTCAAGTCAAAACTTATTTCATGATAATCTGAAATTTTAACACCGTTAATAATATATGAAAATATTTGTGAAAATTCATATCAAGGTCAATATAAATAGGTAATACCCATTGGGAGAAATACACATAATTAAGTAATTATGAGATTCGTTTAATCAAAAATGACAGAACAACCAATTATGCAACACACATTAAAGAATACCGAATACATAAAGAAATATGCAATACACATTAAAGAAGAATAATATTTTAGACCGAACCGAAAGAAGATCAAAGGGAAGAAGAAAGAAACTGTGAATTGTTAAAGAAATAGAGCCTAGATGAAACAATGTCTGACACATTGTTTAACCAAATATGAGAAATTGAAGCATTTGATTGAAATAAAGGCAAAAAAGTTGAAGTTAAAAACACCCCATTTCTAAAATTCAGCAATTAAGATCAATTAAGAAACAACATATTAAGAGTAAAATTAGCTCTATGCTATTTGAATATTATCAAATCTCTTAATGTTCAAAGAATCAAAGTGAATTAAAGAATTTTCATTAAAACTATGAAATATTTCAAACACATCATAAATAACCGAATAATGAGGTTTGAGTTTGTTCAATTAGTCAATGCCTCAAAATTTCTAATAACAACATATAAATTTAAATTTCCCTTACATATTTTATTATATAATAAAAATTTTCTTTCTGCCCAAATATATTCTAAAAATTATTTGACATACATAAAATTATTTTATAATATACAATTAGAACATGGGATCCTTATTGTTACATAATACAACAATGTATTGTCTTTCTTATAATAAAATGATAAATGACAACTCAATGATAATAAGTGTCAAATAAGTACAACACGATTGTAACAAAATATTACAATATAAAAAAAAACAAAAACTTACATACAAAAATAAATATTGTAAAAATTCGTACATATTACTTATACTCAAATTTTATAGCTCTACCATACTATAATGGTCAACATGAAAAAGCAAGAAATATAATGAGAAAATTAATGACATTGACAACGTCTGTACAATAGAAAACATCGTTTAGTATAAAGAACCAAACTATTATTATTTATTATTATTATTGTTATTATACTCTTATATGTTATACTATCAAAAAGGACATCAACATACAATTTAAATGTACAAAATATACAATCATATAAATTTATCCTGTACGTATATACTTTTATAATATGTAGTATTAACACTTACCCCTAATTCAATATAAAGTGTATAAATTGGATATGGTAAAGCAATAACCATTCCAGTTAACCATGATGCACAACAACAAACAAATGTTGGTAGACGTCCTTTTAATGGATCACCAAGCCATCTCATACGATCCCATGCAATTAATAAATGTGATATCATTGCAACATGAAGTGGTATATCCTTAAACAAAACAAAAATAAAGAAAACAAAAGTTAATAGGAAAATTTTTAAATAAAGATTATTAAAAATTTTGTAACAATTTTTAAACTGATTAAAATATGTGATGTAAAAGAAGCAATTATTTAGGTGATACTGCAACAATGAAGAAAACTTAATTTAAGAAAATATTAATTAAAATAATTGAATGGCTTTTCATTTTGACAAGTTTGGTTTGGTAGATATTAGGGATAATTTTGAAATTATGATTTGAGATCATAATTGTTTGACTTTAGTTGCCTCGTGCGATAAATAATAAGAAATCAAGATTAAAGAGTTTTTTATGACAAGTATTTTATTAGGGAAATTTTTTAAATTAAAATTTTCAAAATAGATTCTGGAGTGAAAAATATTAAGAGCACATACACACTACTCTAAAAAAAATAATTGAAAAGCGAATTGAGTAATAAAATTTGATTTTTGACCGGAAAAACTATAAGAAAATTGATTATTTCCATTTATTCAATTTAATCCCGGATTCATGGAAAATTAAGTTATAAAACTGGAAATTTATCTAATCAATTCTATTAGCTACAAACTTTTTTTAATATTTTAAGGCTTAAAGTTCGTTAGTATTTTGAAACATTTTTTTCTAGAGAATGGTCACCTGAATTGTAATAATTCCGAAGATAAATTAATCGCTTGAAGCCAGTTCTGATTAATTCGAATCTGATTAATTAAAGCTAAAAGTCAAAATCTTTAATTAACAAATTTTCAAAAAAAAAAAAAATGTATTTTAACATGTCTGTTTACGTCAAGTTTTCCATTTAACTGATTTTCATCTCCTTATAATTAGGAATATAAATATATTTTACCAGACGAATTCCTTAAGTCAATCGTCAATATTTTCATGCAATTAATATTGCACGAAAGATCTAAAACAATCATCAGTAAGACGCACATACTCATAATAATACATTATTAATTTCCTTACTATTTTCAACCTCTAGTCAGATCTCTTGGGTCTTACTTCTTTGGTTGCCCATTGGACCTTGCGAATGTAAATATTTAGGATCTTAGCCGATTTGTGAAGAGTTCTGGCTAGTTTGAATAACCGACGGTATCACAACGGGCCCAGATGGTCTATGTGTACCCCTCGGGGGACAGCATTAACCTAACCTAACCTTACTACTTTCTTTACTTAAACTGAAACTGTTTGTTATTTTGATTCACCACTCATACTTAGAACTCTAAATACTTTTTTTTTTTCTAAACTTATAAACATTGCTTTTTATTTGAATTAAATGAATTGAAATTTAAAGTTATTTATAATTAGAAAATGAATTTAAGGGACATGTTTAACTCAGCTTGTAGCACATAAAATTACATTTATTTCCTACTTCGTTGTTCATATTGCTAGCATACTGCGACAGCGAGAGTCATATACGAGATTTCACACAAATGTCACTGCCGTAATTCAGTTTCAATTGACAGCGACAGCTTCAATAATTTAATCAAAAGCAATCTAAAAAGTTTTTTACTTTCTTCTCTTTTTAATTTTTGCATTGTTTTTTTTTATTTTTTTTAAATTCTCCTTTTGAAATTAAAATACATATACGTAATGCCGGATATTCTCCCAATTAACAAAATTAAAAATATCCAGATTAAAAATGAGGTTTGTTATTCAATTGTCATCGCATGTTGCGTCGACAAATATTCAATTTTCCGACATGCGTCAGTATCGCATGTCGCAGCAATTACAGCTTTTACGTCTCACTCCTTCAAATTAAACAAAACTTCTTATCGTTTTATCAACTTAAAAAAATTCCTTAACTTATCTTTAACAAACTTTAACTTTTCATTGGATAATAATTCCCATAAAAACATAGTAAAAAAAAAAAATAAAATTTTATAAATTTATTCCAACGAGATTTAACAACTTTTGAAAAATAGATCCAATTCTCTGAAGAGATTCCCGCAACTTCTTTTCTTAAAATATCGTTCAAAAAATTTAATTTATAAAGGTGTCCTTTAAAAGAGCAGACAACGATTTTAAATTGAAAACTGTACACCGATTTATTTAAAGTATTTTTTTACTTTTCATGGTTCTTTCTGTTTAAAGTGCAGTCTACCTCCTGAATATTTAAACAAAGACATATTTGTAGTAACATTGAAAACATTAATCGAAGGATTAAATGCATTAAAATTTCAAAGTTAAAAAATGAACATTTTACAAGGATTTTCTTTGTAAATGTTACAAATCTCTTAAGTATTGACAGTTTAACATTAAAAATTCTACATATGTACACTCTTTCTGTTTTATAAATTTAAGGAATCATTTCAAATCTACTATACGTTTAAGGAATATACTTTAAATGTCCTTGACTATTTTATTATGATTTAAACAAAAAAAGGAAAAGAATTTAAATGTTATTTTTATTTTCTTTCATTTTTTTGCGTTTGCAGAATGACTAGGTACTTGAGTTTACAGAAAAAACTTGAAAAAAAAAACACCGGATCTCTAATGTATTGCTCATACACTTACATTTGAGAAGAAACAATAAAAAAACCGACAAATCCTTTTTTCTTTCTTATTAAATTTCAAAAGTTCCAAATGAATTTTTGTTTAAATCAAATTTTTTATAGCCTTCTCCTGACTTTAATACATAAATTTGTGTTTTATTTTTGCTCTGCCACTTCTTCCTTTTTCTTAAAAAGAATAAAATATTTTTTTCAAAGTCAGATTTACATAAATTTAATGGTATTACAATAAAAAATACTTTCTACTTTTAGCAGGACAAAAAAAATTTTACTAAACAAAAACTCAAACAATTAAGAAAAACTAGGAGTGAAAATTTTTTTTTTAAAGCACATAATGAGCACTTAAGTAAAACTATTGTTGTTAAGGAAAAATAAATTATGTGGCAAGCACATTACCGACCGCAAGGTGTGTTGTATAGTTTAGCAAAAATGTTGCACGAGATTATTAAAATGCCTTTTAAACACTTCTTTCAAATTTAAAGGACGCTAGTAAGCTTTTAGTTAATGTACCTCGAAAAATATAAGTTTCGTTTTTGGCAGAATTTCACTTTGCGCCATTCGAATTTTCTGAAAAGTTTGTCATTTGCTTCAGGTACCAAACAAAATCTTTCATTTCATTCAATAATTGCAAGAAATAAATTAATCCTTAATCGATTAATTTCTTAAATATGTCAAAAAACGTAAATTCGATTCCTAATAAAAATTAAGTTTCCAAGCCCATACATTCCCAAAACCTTTATAAGTTCATTGTTTTCACACCCTGAATTCAAATATTAAATTACAATGAAATTAGTTGATTATTTTTCTTGATATGCGCAAAAATGTAAAATTGACCCGTAGTAAGTCCACTTGCTGACTCGTGCTTTCTTTCAAAAGTTATGTGATTTCTATGTACTGTCAAGTGAAGTTTATATATGAGATTTCAAGTAAATATTTTGAATGTTTATCTAAAAATAGTTTATTTAAGCTTCCCTAGCATAGAAAACTCCACATGTGAAATTTAGTGTCATCACATAATCCCCCTTAACGTATTATACGCATAGTACATAACCGATAGTAGCAGTGAGTATTTTCTAACAAAAATTCAAGTGACATTCAAAAATATTTTAGTTTCTTTTTTAAGATTTTCTGAAGCAGACGAGGAAGTCTGCATCGAAATTTCTTCAAATGAATAATATTAGTGTGCATATAATGCCTCCAATATTTCAAACAATGACATAAAAAAAAAAAAATTATACTTTTTTTTCCGACCCATATATTGCATTCTTAAATTTGTACTTAGATTTATTATAAAGAATACGCTTAATGATAATAGCTTTAGAATTTTTATTTTTAGGAAATTTAGAGCTAGGAATTTAATTTTTTTTTTTAATTTTTCCTGATTGTAGTACAGCTGTAATATGAAATAGTCATATAAAAAACACCAATATTTGAAAGGTGAACTGAAAAACTACAAGCTTTTACATAAAATGCCTAATCAATACTTTTTAATATATATTTTTTAAACTGGAAATACTTTTTCTTAAGATAGACTTATCTTGTAGGTTTCAGTCAATTATAGTTGTTTTGATTTAAGTCTCAGATTATCGTTTATAAACCGAAGTGTCATATAATTATCACTTACTGAGTCATTAAGCACAATTTCCTTTTTACACGAATTACATTTGTACTACAAAGTATAACATTTAATCTGTTAACTTGAATTACTTCAAAACTTTAATAATTTTAATTAATAAAAGTATTATTATGCAAGAACTTCCTATTCAATAGTTGCTAGTTATTATACTAAGATGTAGTTATAACTCATTTCAAAATTACCTTGTGAATTTGTGAGTGACAAGTGCTATGTCATCTCCGTATTAGCAGTCAGGGTGGTTTCCAATAATATTTTTAATAAATGATTGATCATGATTTCAAAATTGTAGTTATATGGTATTAATATTCAATTCATCAATTATAATTAGAAAGTTTAAATGTGCATATTGCAATTTTGAAGTCAGGGTTATTATTTTATTCAAAAAATTAAAAAATTGAGCTTAAAATTACCTGTGCATTTTGGTAGGTAACAATAAATTCGTAAATTATAGATCAGATCAGAGGCATTCTATATGCCTAATCACTATCATTTCTTAAAAAATAATTTTTTATACTAACTTTAAAGAATTCATTTAATGTCTTCATCATACTTTGTATAAAATCTCTAGTTCTTGTACAAAAGTTTTATATGAAAATTTGATATTTTTCTAAAAGCAAATTATTACTTTGGTAATAATTTTGCTACAAAAAATATGGTTTAAATACAAAGTTTATTAAGTACTAGCTATATAAATTTCAATAAAATTCTTGCAAATTTCTTGCTTTGTCATATTGAATCTATAAACCTCAACTTCATTTTATTACTTTACACATGATTTTACCTTATAGTTTAGCTTTAATGACTATAAAAATATAAAAGTTGTGTTTACAATTTATGAGACTACCAA